CATGCTGAGTAGGTAAAGTGCCAAGGAACTACACCCAGGCAATGGGTGGGGAGTGAGGGGATGTGCTTCTAGGGAAAGTTGGCGAACATGGTGGAGGAAGTATAAGTACAGACTGAAATCATCTGGATAAAAATTGTCTTATAAATTTGACCTTGAAACTATACATTCATAATTATATGTTAAAATTAAATTTAAAAATCAACTCAGAAATACTGCAAATGAAACCAATGAATCTACATATGAGTTAATGGCATCATCCTATAAAAAGGAATTAATTAATTAGACTGCATTAAACTGTATGCCTTGGGGAGATAGCTATTGCAAAAAGAAATTACAAGCTGTTTTCAGTAATCCTGTTGATATTGCTATCTTGCTGCTGTCCCAACAGTGCTGTGTTTATCATGATGAAGAGCAGAAAAGAACCACCATTTCCAGTGCCTGATGACTGAGAGTTTTGGTTTTCTATACAAGCTAAAAAGGAAAATAATTGCAAAAATATTTAAATGGTCTTTTAGTAACCATACAGTTGGCAAAAAGTGTTGCATTTTTATCGTATAGCTACTGGAGTGTAAGGCAGAGAAAATGAGCTGCTCTCTGCTCTAACCCTGTCCTTGTTGTCTTGAGAACTGGAATTTCAGGTGTATGAGAAAGATGAAGGAGAAGCAAAACCCCTGTGGCCTTGACCTTAATTACTGCCATCATGGTCAACCCATAGTGTCTTTCATCTTGAGAAAAGAAAAGGAAAAAAAAAAGATTCTTCATTTGTGTTTACTGAAAATATATCTGGAAACAATGACCAAGATGGCAGAGACCTTCAATCAAGATTATTTTATTACTATTTTTTTTTACTTAAGTAATGTGGGTTCCTTAGAGAAACAGATAAATCCTGGTTCTGTGGCTAAATATAAGGTAGGTGGGAAGTATTCTGCCTGCTCCTGGCCAAGATGGGAAAATTAAAATATCAATGTGAGTTAACAGATCTGTATAAGATCTTAATGAGAGAAAGATATTAGTCACTTTGTGAGGATGGGGTGGAGTGAACGGATGTTAGAATTAGCAAATAAAGAGGCATGTGTTTGTCTTCTTTTTCCTGTACAGACTGCATCTTAGGTTAACCAATTGACAAGACTTCTCCCAATTGATGCCCTCTTGCTGTCAAATAAATAATAGAATGTTAGAAATTTCAAATCCTTAATAAATAATGGATTAGGTAATGACCTAATGAAAATCATACAATGAAACCACTATCATCTATGAAGAATAGTTGCAAAAAAAAACCAACTCTGGCCAATCTTTTAATTAATTAAATGACCTAGAGACAAGGTCTCATATTGCTCAGGCTGGCCTCTGAAGACTTGCTGCTTAGTCAAAGATGACCTTGGCCTTCTGAGTCTCTTACTTCTTCCTCCAGGAGCGAGGATCTCAGGCATCGAATCCAGCGCCTCATTCATGGAAGGGCAGCATTATCCCAACTAGACGACCCCAACCCTCCAATGGAGCTCTCAGATCTCCCTATTAAGACACAAAAATTTCAGGAAATGATGGAGAGGTATTCAGTAACAAAACATTCATGTACCCAGCAAAATTCAGACTCTGTGAAACTCGATGACAACAAATGTTTCGACAAAAACATTACAAGGAAAGCAAGAAGAGTCAGGGCACACAGGGTAAAGGTTAACATTTGGAACAGGGCATGGTGGTGCATTCCTTTAATCCTAGTACTCTGGAGGAAGAGGCAGGTAGATCTTTTTTGAGTTCAAGGTCATCCTGGTCTACATAGTGAGTTCTAGGACAGCCAGGGCTACATAGAGAGACCCTGTCTCAAAACAAACAAACAAACAAACAAACAAACAAACACCTGGTTAGTTTAAATACATCGAACTTATTCTGACCTTGACTTAAGCAAACTATTAAAAACGTCATTCCCAATAATTATAATCTGACATGAAGTTGTGTCATTTGTACTTGTTTGAAACTGTCTATACTGAATGGTAAAACAATAAAACATCAATTAACCTATATATTGAGTGCCTGTTACATACACACTAGACACTTTTAAGCACTTGCTTAAACTATCCCCTTGGGTGAGGGTGGAGCCTAAACTGGTGAGAGTGTCTGCCTACCACATGCATAGCCTTGGCTTTCATTCCCAGCATGGCAACAAATGAACAAAAACCCTAATAACACCCTTCCAGGAAGCTGGGACCCATTGCTGCTACAATGAAGAAGAAACCAGGACAGAGTGCTTAAACACCATGTCCAAGGTCACAGAGCTACTAAATTATGACCTCAGGGAATAAGTATCAGAGTATACTCTAAGCCATGGGGTTTTATCACCATGTCTGGGTGAGGGGAACTTTTTTTTTTTAACTATATATAGTACCTCTCATAACAGGAGGACTGGGGTTGTGATAATGGAGAGAAGTAGATGGCTATGGAGGCATCTGGAAGGTGAAGGTGAAACTGACCAGATTCCATTGCAGTTAAGTAAGGTTCAGGGGAGAGTCCAAGATCTCTGTGAGGTTTCCAGCTTACATAGTGGGGTAGATGGTGCCCATGTTCAATGGAACAGGAGATGTGCTCACTCAGCTCTAGAGGGTAAAGATGACTTGTGTCTGGAGCATGCCCAGTGTACAGTGCCTTTGGGACACTTGGGTGGGGTCACTGACTAGCTGGCCATATAGGCAGGCTCCCTTAGATGTTAGTTTTCTTTTTCTTTAGAATTGTGTCCTTTTTCTAGGGGCCGGGGACTTTTCTAGTTTAGAAAAGTGGCTGAATATGTTGTTTTTTATTTTTGTTTTTCTCTCAGAGGTATTGTTGAAGGAGTCACCTGTACACCTTGTAAAGCCACTTTTACTCCATTGTCTAAGGAAATGGGGGTGGGGATGGCATTTATTCACCAGAACTTGATTTCTTACTGTGCTCCACCCACTGGATTAAGAGCCCCTGAAGTCTCTTTCATCACACAGTCACAAAGTCCTGATTCTTCCCGCTTTTGCAACAAAGGGACTGAACATAAAAAGAAGAGCCAAATTACTTGTTTGAAGTCACAGGGGTATAAAGTAGCAGTCCCCATTGCTAGTCTGTGTTCTGCCATCATGTCTCCAGTTTGCACAGCAAGGGTGAAAACTGGAGTGGTTTATGGTCATGGTTTCGTTGTACAGACCACCACAGTGAAGCAGCCCTTTGGTTGCACTTTTCCCTTTTAATTGATTGCTTGATTAATGTGTGTGGAGGTCAGAGGACAATTTTTGGTAGTCTGTTCTCTCCTTCCACTTGTGGGTCCTGGGGACTGAACTTCCTAGGTTCCCAGGCTTGGCAGCAAACACCTTTACCCACTGAGTCATCTCATTGGCCTCCTGTTGTCCTTACATCCAATATTCCATTGCAACATATGGAACAATTCAGTTAGTGCTAGTATATTTCAACACTTTCTGATTTTGTCTAAGATAGTACATACCTCAGGCTCAAAATTGAGCAAATAGGAACAATTTATAGCAGAAGTTTAACAGTATCTTATTTTCATTCTGGATATTTTGAGGACTACCTCCTATTTATTTGTGATAGTAGTGTTTCTATGTACACAGAAACATAGACATTTTCCCCAAATAAATTTAAGTAAAATAAATGAGGTAAAAGAGCACTGATATCAACTTGATTATTAATTTGATTGGGTTGAGAGACACCTAGGCTATTAGTAAAGCACACCTTAGGGTGTGTCTGTTGGGGTGTTTCTAGAGGATTAGCTAACAGGATAAGAACTACCTTGGATGTGGTTAGCACCACTCCCTAGACTGGACACAGATGGAAGAAATGGGGAGAAGCAATGTGTCTGCTTCCTGGCTGCAAGGAGGTGAGCAGCCCTCTTCCATTACACACTCCTCCCACCACGCCGTTCTGTCCTACCTCAGGACAAAAGAAAAGGAAGGAACAGACCATGGCTGGAAACAGGAATCTGTGAGCAGAAACAAATCTTCCTACACCAGTCTCTCACAGGAATTTGTGACAAAGAGTACCATAAACACTCCCCCACACATAGGAGTAATGGTGGTTCTGAGAAATGGAAGAAACTCACCTGATGAAGCCATTCTGATGTTGTTCCCCTCCTCACCCTCACCATGGACCACCCCACTGCCCTAACCTAAGTAGCTGCCTGTCTTCACCAAACATCAGGCAGCTTCCCACTTAAATAGTTTCTTTTCACTGGTGGCCAAATCTCCGCAGCAAGCTTGTTGCAGACCCCTAATGCCATATGTCAGGTAACTTGAGTCTCCATTGACCAGACTAGCATAGTCTTTGGCAGCCCACTGGATAGCCTTTCCAGGCTTCAAGAAAGAAATAGGGCAAAAGACATGTAACTAGTAAGTCATGACAGAGAATACTTAAAGACACTGGGTTGTTTTGAGAAATCTTTCAATAGGTGTTTTGTTTTGTTTTGAGATAGGGTCTTATGTATCCCAGACTGGTTTTGAACTCATCAGAAGCCGAGGATGACCTTGAACTTTTTTGATCCTCCTTGCCTGAACAGCCTGAGTGCTTAGACTACACTGCCCAATGATAAGGATGCTGGAATGGGCCTGCTTTCTACAAGCTGAGCTACAGCCCCTCCAGTTAGCATTTTAAAACTAGTATATACTCTAATAATAAGTGTATTGACTACACCTATTTCCATCTAACTTGCTTCCCTAAAACTCTAATCCCCAGTTTGTATAATAATGCAGTGTTTGCCCTTCCCGCCTGTCCTAAGACAGAAATATATTCATTAGATTTGTGAAAAGTGGATGTATATGGTGGCCTTTAGAAACATTATTATGAGTTCTTCTAAATATAGACAAAGGGAATAAAAACTCCCAAAGCTATGTGTATCTTAAAAGACATCATTGTCACACAAAATAATTCTGCCTGTGTATCCCCAAGGAACTGAAAAGCACATTATAGTCACTGTAACCCTGCTGGGCAGAGACAGTATCTTCTCTATTCTTTGTTATGCCTGATGCTATCTGTTCAGCATATTAATAAAAAAAGAAATCTGTATCTAACATAATATGTCTGCCTCCTCTCGTTCATTTCCCATGAGCACCAAAGGACAGTTCTTTTCCAGACTAGACTCCAAAGCCTGAACGTATTAGGTTTAGGGCTTGCAAAGTATCCTTTAAGGTGGTAAATATTCCTGTTGTTTGAAACAAACAAACAAAAATGACAAGTACACCATTCTAAATCTACAAGGTCAAAAAGGCAGATTCCAGTCTTCTTGAGTGGGGTACCCTAACCCAGGGCCCACTGTGATTGCTGCAGCTATGCAAATCCCAACTTCACGGTGAATGGGACACAGGAAGAGGCCTGATGTGCATTCGGGACTCAGGACATAATCCCACTCTGAAACAGGAAGTCATCCCCTCTCCGGTACAGGAGAGTTGATGGTTTGGGGCAAGGAAGGCGTGTGTAAGGAAGGGTGGTGGTGCGGCCCGCCTCGGGGCTACAGCAGAGTTTTTTGGGTCCCCCAGAGCCTGGCTCCCGGCCCTGCCCAGACTATTGTCCACACACCTCGTCCCTCCAGCTTCCGGGCCGCCGGCGAAATGATTTGCTGCAGATGACATCAGCCCTGGGCCAAGGGCTACAGGAGTGGAGGCAGCTACCACGAGGATGTGCCGGGTGGTCCTTTCCTCCTCCTCCTCTTCCTCCACCTCCTCCTCCTCCTCCTCCTCCTCCCAGGCTCCTAGCCTAGTCTCCATATAAACGGCACCGCCTCCCCGGCCTCTCACTCCCCACTCCTCTCTTCCGCGCCGGGAGAGGGCGGAGGAGGAGGCGACGCGCGCGCCGGGAGGAGGGGGGACGCAGGGGGCGGAGCGGAGACAGCACCTTCGGAGATAATCTTTTCTCCTGCCGCAGAGCAGAGGAGCGGCGGGGGAGGGAAACTGGGCCCT